TGGGTCGGATCGTTAAAATCACTTCTTTGAGAAATACAATTTTTCGACATTGTCTGCAAAGATAGTCGAGGAAGGATCCAATTATCACTAATGAAAATGGTGTGTGATTAATAAATCATTATTATTATGGACAAACAACCCTCTCTCAGCGACAATATTATCTTTTAAATTTTCGGTAATTAAAATAATTGACAATTGCTCCAGTTGCTATTTGATCCTAGTCCAAAAAATTGAGTCAAATTTTAATCAAAATTTGCATATTTTGTGAATCAGGATTAATCTCAAAAAAAAAAATTGCGAGAACTATGCGATGGGATATTACATACAAACAATAAAGATCCTAAGCCAAGTTCGTTTGTCTGTTTGTCTGTTTGTCCGTCCGTCCGTCAGGGTCTAGGTTCACAAAATATGTTAAAAAATCATACTCTTTTTTTTTTTATCTTTCACCTCTTATTGTTATTAGGATCGCATTTCATTTTAAAATCGCTACAATGGCCGAGTTGTTCCATATAGTGAGTTACGAAACAAACGTTTAGAGTCAATTTAAATTAAAATGCATGCTTCTCCCTTTTGTAAAAAAAAAAAAAAAAAACAGAACAAGAGAGATTATCTTTCAATATACAAATCGTGTAAAAAGAGTTTTATTGTTTTTGATATCACTTTAAAAAGAATTGATTAAAATTAGCTTATAGCGCACATTATGTAGCTTAATTTTAATATATTTGTATATAAATGTTATTATTTACCAAAATTATTTAATTTCTAATTTAATTTGTTTTTTTTTTTATTCTCTTATCGGTTTTTTCTTTGTTTTTTTCAAAACTCTTTTTTGAAATTTCTCTCTCTGTTATACTTACATACTAACTCTGCGAATCTTTTACTACTACTACTACTACTACTACTACTACTACAACTACTGCTATCAAATAAAATAAAAAACAAAAAAAATTTATATATATTTGGATAAAACTTTTCCTTCAATCCCCAAAACTTTTCATTGTTGTGTGTGTATGTGATGTGAATGTGTAATCATTGTAAAATCCCTTTAAAAATCTATTAAATTATCCTGCTAAAAAAAAAAACAAAACGAATGCACAAATTAAAAAAAAAAAAAAAAAAAAAAAAAAAAAACAATTTAAAATCACGAATTATATCGTGTCACAAAATCATATCACCACCACCAACGCTACTACACACAAATTTTTAAAAAATTACACACGAACACATCAGGTGGTATAAACAAACCTAAACAGCACAAGTCCGTCATAGGTCTGTTCCGACGGGAAAGTTCCGGCTCACGTGGTACGACTAGCATTGGCGGCGATAATGCTGATGGCGGTTCAGCGCCAGGCTCGGATCCCGCCTTGGCGGCCATTTTAAGTAACATGGTTGCGCCTTCATCGTCTATGCAATCGTCGCGTTTGGACAAACGTTCGGCATCTATATCGGCTGCTTCTAATTTAGGCGATGGGCACGCTGGACCATTCCCGGTTACAGCTAGTCATCGGCGCAATACTAGACGTGGTTCCATGCTAGAGTTAAGCGGGTAAGTTAAAGTCCCTTTATTCTCTCGTACGCTTATTTTTCAATTATTAACTTTTCGTTTTTAATGAAATGCATGCCATTTATGTATAAATTAAATTTTTTAACCTTTACTATTATTATTGGTTAAGGGTATTAAGCATGAAGCATGAAGTTAATTAGTACCGGTTCTTGGTAGTATAGTTTTTATATGTTTTTATTTTACAGTTTCCGATTTTATTTGCTTAGTACTTGTGGTAGCTTTTTATTGATTTTATATATTTATGTTTTTATTTATATCTATATATATATATGCTTGTACACATACGTATAATTTTTAAAATTTATGTATCAATAAAAAAAAAAAAAATTTTGAAAATTCAAAGGACAGCATTATAAAATTGTCTAACTGGGAATATAGATTATTGGTGATAATTGTAAATAACTTATGATTTTAAGGTATTTCTGGAATTTTTGTTTTTTTTTTTCAATTTTTAATTTATAAATTGTTTTTGTGTTGAATTTTTAAGGAAATATGTTTTATTTCGTCTTATTGTTATGTGAATTGTCATCTTTTGTCTACGTCTATCGTTTCGATTTTACGAGAGTACAGAGCTCATGGCATTCGCTTATGAAAAATTTTGATCATTTATTTTAAGAATTCGCGATGAAATAATCCTTTTGATTCTTTGAAACCATTGACGCGAGAGTAAGCTTTGAAGTTCACTTGACTCACTTAGGTGAACAATCAGAATGTTGTAGAGAGAAGACTGTGATCTCTATCATGAAGTCGAATATAGAGAAAACGATTATTGAAGATTATTTTAACAGTGCGCAATCTGGTCATAGCAAATACAGATTAGTTGCATGGGCGGATTCTTTTTGACAGCTTGTGTGTGGGTGAAAACAGCTTCAAGTTTTTCACTTTTAATTTTTAGTGAATAGTGGCCGATCAAGAAATTGATGATATCAGTTTGTCAACTCTCTATCACACTCTCAAAAAGTTTAGGAAAATTGCACTGTTACTGACCTGTCAGGGCACATAAAAAAATTGCAGCAAAGAAAACATTATTTAATCAGTTAATTGCGTGGACCTCTTTACCTATACAGTCTTCAAACATTAAGTGTATGCAACACGAAATTAGGTTGTAATGAAATGAATAAAATCTTCTAAAGTACATTATTATGACGAAAGCACATTCATAATGATAAGGTTTTCATGTGGAAGTCCCACATGGATAGGCGGATGAACGATGGTATATATATTCTCCAAATATAGTTAACTGGTGAACTCTTTATGAACTTCATTATTACTTACTCCTACTATTACTTATCCGTTATTTTCGCACTTGCGAGCAAGAGTCTTTGATAGTTTTACTATCACAGTTGTAACATGAAATGAAATCTGTGAGTAACGGCAGGTTCTTAGTTCATTGCGTCCTTCGTTATTGTCAGAAATCTCACGATCGCATTATTTCGTCTAACAAGTTAAAACTTTCTACTGGTGAAAGCGCAGTCTGAATAGTTCCATATTGTTATTGAAAGAATTCTATACAGAAAAGTTTTAGTTCCGTATAACTTACGTAAAACATGCAAATGATGTCAAGTAGTTGTATTTTCTCGCACATTATATAGCATTTGTAGTGCGAATAAACGGTGAGACAAAAATTTTATAAATGATGCCAAGTTTTGCTTTACGTCAAAAAGATAACTCATGACTCAATTTCCTATGAAATCTGCCTCATTTTTGTCGAATTCTTTAGCCGAGTTCTATATAGAGTCTGTCAGACATACCACTATTATAAAAGGGGTGAAAGGAAAAATGAAAAGTAGTTAAGATATGAAAAACCTATGGAAAGAAAACTAGAGCAAGACGAGGAAAAATATTGAGATAAAAAAAAAAAAACTCTTACTCTTAGGTAGTGGACCATTAATTTAAAGGCATGTCACGATAATGACGGAAACGTTGACAATTTTGATGAATGAAGGCTTTAGATTGTGGTTATGTTAGTCTTCCAAGCTTACTCTTTTGTTTTTTTTTACTCACTCACAAACACAAACACACAAACATACACACACAGTTTTATAACTGAATAAGAAAAAATCACAAATATTTCATCGCGAATTCCCTACGCAGGTAAATAGACTTTCGAAATTACTAAATTTGCAACAAAGCACTAAAAGATATAAAAATTGGACTTTAAGAAGAATTCGAGAAAGCACTTTTATATTTGATGATTTCAAAATTTCACCTACCTCATACACATACACTGCCGGGTTTGCAGTGTGAATACCTTCGCATAAATAACGAATACAACAACACTGTAAAATTTCTATTTTCAATAAATTTTAATATTTACACACACGCACACAAAAATCCCTACTTTTTCTCTATTTTCTGTTTATTCTTTACACTCTCACACTACTTTTGTTGTTGTTTTTCTTCTTCTCTTATTTGTTTTTCTTCATACAAGCAAAATTTGTTTAATTTGATTACTTGTTCGTGTGTATGTGTGATTTTTTTCTCTTTCTTGCAGCCTTGTGGTAACAGGACGCAGACCTAGTAGACTCTTTAGTCCTTTACAGTTAGAAAAGTTTAGTAAAATTACTAACAATGAACTCCTCCATGCTACTAATAATAATAATAATGGTAATTCTACCACAACATCAACTACTTCTGCTACTGCTCCCACTTCACCTGTCTCTACCGCAACAGCATATGCAACAGACACTAGGCGTTCTTCTAATGTCACATGCAGTACTGTTGAGGAAAATGTCGATCAGGAAAATGTAGAAATTGCACATTTGTGAAAATTTCTGAAAGCAATAACTAAAAGAATGTACTTTTACCTACAACAATTACAACAACAGCAACAAAATCGCAACAATATAGTAACATATTTTTTATAAAGCATATATTATATACCGGTATTAGACAGTGCGTGAGTTTAGTGATATTTACACATATATATCACTACATAATAGAAAGAAGAATTAGCTCTAAACAACCGAAGAGATACAAACATATTTTTCGAAAGTTTTTAATCATTAACATAAAAGTAAAAGTGTAAAGTAATTATTTTTTTTTTTTTTTTTTTTTTTTT